CTGTGGATATTGGGAAATCCCAGACATCCCTTTGCATATGCCACAGAGGGGCCCCCAAGGGCTACCTGGGCTGAGGAAAGTCATATATCACATTATTCTTGTTTACCAGTGATAAGTAACCACAGCTTCTGTAGCTAAGCAAACCTAGGGACCACTAGGTTGGAGGAGTTTAAAGAAGTCTTAAAACTACTGTTTTCTCCCCCTACTTTTCCTTTTGCAATGAACATAATTTTGCTTTGGCTCAGTATGTCACTTAAGTGTCTTCAGATATACCCAATTTGTACCTTGATCTGCTGTACTTCCCACTTTCTAATTTTCACACTGGGAGAATCCTGTCCTAGAATCCAGCATTTTTGTTTTCAGTTAGGAAATGTTATTAAAAACAAAAGACCTGTCTTGTTCTTCCGGAAGTGCTGTTTAAACAGGAGCAGATTTTCAGGGAAGGTAAGTCTGTGCATATGAGCACAGCAGCCTTCCTATTGTAAATGGGAAACAGACATACTTAGTCTGAGCCTTGAACCTCTTTGCTGCTCCTGATTGTTTTAGTCTGGGTTCCAAAGTGGTCTGTAACAACTTTTAGGTTAAGTGGAAAGTAGTGTTCTGCTCCTTTTCCTTATTTTTTCTTTATTTTTCTTTCTTAATGAATTGTTTCATTTTTCAGTATAAATATACAGGAAGGATTTTTCCATATGCAAAACAGACAAAGTACAGCAGGCTTCAAAGTTTACAGTGAGTCATACAGGGCCAGCAAGGGAGTAATATAGCATTTCTTTACAGCATTGAAGAATCAAACTTTTTTGTCTATTTTAAAGAGGAAAATACATTTCTCCTCCTTTTGATTTTCTTAAACAGTGTTTCTCCTAGTCATAACTTTGCTACAGTGAACACCCACACTCTTTTCAGGAGAGTGCTACAAAACTACTGGTATTCTAGCTTGACAGTAAGAATTTTCTAAACAAGAATATAACTGTTATATATAGTAAGAAGCAGAGGAGAAGGAAAAATATCTGGTGAATCATAGTAAAAAATTTTTAGACTTCTCTATTTGAAACCTTTATGTTGGAACCAGAACACCAATGAAGTAAACTATTATACAGGTAAATATATAGTAATCTGGTGCTTGTTGAATCCCCCAACAATTCATTCTCTCCTGTGCCTACTTAGATATAATACCGCTTTGGCCAGTTTTAGCTCATTTGGGCTTACTGAAATACTGTTTTGGCTTTGGCAGAGAAATTTTCACTGATTGATACCCAATTTGCATCTGTCTCTTCAATGTTCCAATCACTTGTCTACTTAGCTTCTAATCATATCATTTATATCCTGCCAGAAGTATTTTGTCCATGATGTTTACTGTCTTCTAACAAGCAACAATTAAGGAAAATTTGATTAGCTGGACTATGGGAAAGTCTGACAGACTTCTAAGAAGACTTTAATTCTGTTTTTCCTGTGGAAAACTACAACCTGCAAATTTTTGGCTCCCATTTTGGTTCCAAAGATCTCTTTGATTTTGAAGCAGAGCTAGAAGTCTCAATAACCTACAAGTGGCCAGGCAGTGTGCATGAGGGGTGGAATTGGGAAAATTGCTCATTATTAGTCTAGCTGAAAACTACTAAAGTTAGCGTGACCTTTTCTACTGACATAAATACAAGTAGAGTCATGTCAGCAGTGAATACTTCAAGAAGTCCTCATTTCAGATTTACAGCCCTAATATCCATCACATTTAATTTTACTGCAGTGCTATTTGTTTTCAGTTACAGTTATCTCCTTTACTTCATCAAATCTATTATTAGAATCCTATTTTACACTCTGTATCCTAAAATCTGGAGGGACCTTACTATAAGTTTACTGACTGCAACTTTGATTTCACATCCCCAGAAAGGTCACCCAGGTATTTGCTGTGTAGCTTATCAGCCCACATTTCTTTCTAACAAGAGAAAGCTTTCTAAATAATCCTCCCAAAATAATTGCTTCTAGGCATGTTTAATATGCAAAAGATTGTGGCAGTGGCCATGTAAATATTTCATGGCTTGAAGCCATACATTTAAAACAATTAGATGAGGAGTGTTCATTGAAATATGGCATGTGCTTGAAACAACATTTTTGATATGAGGAAAAGCATTGCATAACCAGAAGCAGCTGTTTCAGGTCTGCCCACAGAGGAGGTAGCTTAGGCAGTGAAATTTTACTCCCTGGCAGAACAGGAGCAAGTCCATTCTTGCGACTCTCCAATAGAACAGAAATTTCAGCAAACGGCAAAGTGCTCCTCGTGTATGGAGATTCTGCTAATGTTGTGTCTCTGAACAAACAAGATAGTCCAGGGAGGGAGTGGTCCTATCAGCATAACTACATGTCTTCCAAGGGTTTTGCTGGCACAGTTCTATGGTCAACACCAAGATGCTGGCAGGTGCTGCAGAGCAGATGCAGCCAAGGAGTACAATACAGTATCGGTCCTCCCTACAAAGCAGTACTGTGGCTGGATGCATCTGTGCCCTCCCACTTGTTTTGTTTAAGGTGTTGACTTTGATCTAATTGTGTTAGAAACACACTTTCTAGATAGGAATCATACCTCTAAGTTCAGATCCCTGAACAGCACAGACATCCACAACTGAGCTCACAACTGTGGACTATTTTTTTTATTATTTTCAGTGCAGTGAAAAAGGCAGTTTCAGAGCTCTGTGCATTAGATGTATTTACTTGTCTACTTCAGAAGACGGCGAATTGTGTTTCATAGATGCCTGTACCTGTGCACTAATGTTGTACACTTTTCATCTTCGACTTGTCCATATCAGAGCAGTTCCTGCCACCTTTATTCCAGAGTAGTCATTGTGTGCATGCTCATACTGAACTAATGCTTTTGGTATAAAATTTGTGCCTCTTATTATTAGGGCTGTCTTCTCTGACTGATGAGCCTGCCTGAAAAAGGCTATGAGAGATGAAGAGTTCCCAGCTGTTAAGACCACTAGTGCAGTGGTTTGCAGCACAGCACTGTAAGACAAATCAAACCCACTGATGGTTTACTTTAAAATGCTGTCTGGTAAACTGCAGTGCTTCACAAGCTGATTTACAAGCAGCTCAGTAGTGCACTTACTGGAAGTTGAGCAGACAGGACATCTAACCTCATCAGTCATTCCAAGCTAAGCATCCCTGAAACAACTTCTTAAAAGCATCCCTTCAACTCTGCTTAAAAAATAAAATCTGTTTAGGGGATGTTATGGGCAATACTTTAGTTACTTTCAGATTTTGAGATCTCCAGAAAGAAATCAGGGGCAGTGTATTTATTTTTTTGTTTCGGTTTGTGTTCCCAAATCGTTTGGGGTTTGACTTGCCACCTAACAAACACATTTGGTAACAGTAAAATAAATGAAAGCCCTTTTAAATTTCAGGTACAATGTGTGTATCATGGCTTACGGGCAAACTGGAAGTGGGAAGACATACACAATGTTGGGACCACAGGTAGAGGGGAACTTTGCATTCACTATAGAAGATGAATCAGAACTTGGAATTATTCCTCGAGCTACCCAAGAAGTGTTCAGGTATAAACTAAGTAAAGGCTTGTTGTCAGTGGTAGTCACCTTAAATTTTATAGAAAGAATGAAATAATGTTTGTAATGTATTTATCATTACAGATTTCAGCTTCAGAATGATTAATATTTATATCTTCTCTGACTGCCATTTGATTTTTTTAGTTTTTATATGGATTTCTAGTCTCTCTCCTGCTTAATCTGATTTTCTAAGACAATAAGATTATGCAGTCTTGCTGTGTGCTATCTGTCCATCTGTCTTTCAGACACCTAATTAGCTTTTGAAAATGTTTCAACTATAGTTGTGGAGTCCAAAAGATAATTAAGTTCTTACAAGTTTAGTGAAAATTGACAATTGAATAGATGAAGAGGATCCAGATTAGATCTAAGTCCCAAAGGATAGCAGCATTTTTAACCACAATCTGCTCCTGCTTTGAGAATTTTTTTACTTGAACCTAATACAAGATTGAACTGATGTGCTGCTGTGTTATAACAGAAGAGCCATTAGAGGTTTTTCCAGCTAAGCCTGTTTCTTTTGGAGAAGTGTATAAGCTAAATTAAAGATCCAGTTTTGTATGAGAATAACTGTCTAACTGTAAATACTCTCCTGAATAGACAAGCCCTTAATTTATTAATTTTCCCAGGCTGTGGACAGATAACTTCTTACAGATCTAGTTTGCCATCTCTGTCTGTTCATTGCTTGCACTCTGCCAGATTTTATACCCTGAGCTCTGAATGCAATAACAACCAGCAGAGAAATGATATAAAAAAATCTTGAGGCAGGAGGCTAGTGGAGAAAAACAATTTAAGTCAGTACAACTGTTTGGAAAGTTAAATTTTATATACTGCTTCATGTATAACTTAACTGTATATTCTGATTCTTCAGCTTAACATTATCATATGGATAAGACAAAGCCACAGCTACAGATACTTAATATGCACTTTTATCAGATTAAAATTAGATTACAATTAAAGAATAAATCTTTATTTACACGTTGCTTACTTGGGGTTTGACTTGAACATTTTTTGGCTTTTTTCTTCTTTTTTTTTTTCCCCTTATTTTTATTTTCCAGGCTTATTTCAGAAAAGCCACCAGGAAGTTACTGGGTTGAGGTTTCTGTTGTAGAAGTGTATAATAATGAAATTTTTGATCTTCTGGCCAAAGACAGTTATGGAAAAGTATTTAGCATCAAGCGTGATGTTGTCACAACCAGAGAAGGGAAGAGTGATGTTCCATTGCTTACGCATGAGTAAGTACATGACTTGATCCTTGCCATCCAAACATGGTCTGGTGTTAATGCAATGTACAGCTGTCACAAAATTGCATTATAGGCACGAGATTGCATCTAAACAATGAGTCCTTATCATGTGCAGAAGAACAGTTCTGTTTCTGTTGGCTCAGTCTATTAGACTACAGTTCACTGCAAATGTCAAAATACTTCCAGAAATAACTGTACAATTAGTTTGAGTTATACTCCTGTGTGAAGTGCCTTCCACTCAGAATGCCTGAAGATTGCTGCATATTTTCTTGTTGCTGGGTCTATGGCTCTTCTTGTCAGCTGAATAAGAGTCACAAAGCACTTTCCATTTAGTCTTACTAAATGATAAAATTTACACATTATAATAGAAATTTATGTACTATTTGTAAATTTTTAAGCAGCTGTAGAATGTTAGCCTTCCATACATGCGTTGGAGTTTAAAAAATGTAAAAATAATTAGATTTTACATGATCTTTTAATACAAATATCCATTTTACTACTGCTTAGTGTTCTGTTTTCACAACTAGAGGTGTTAAAGTTGGAATTGATATGTTGACATGTTAGCAAACCATTGATATGGTTTGAACCCATAGTTCTTGAAAATGGAGGTTCTTCAGACTAAAAGCTAAGAAGCAGCTAAGCTTCTAACCATTCACTTTTAAGATGTATACCTTCCCACCATCGGTGTATGGTAAGTTTGATTCTTATTTACACAATTTGACACTGTAGGAAGAGCTAGGGTATTTAGGGCTACAGCTGTACTTACTGTAATGCCTTCTTTTACTTACTAAGCGTTACAAAGACTTGTTCTAGTACTCATGCAAATGATTCCTGGCATTATGTATGTGTGGTATACAAAGCAAATGTATAGTACTTTTTGTTATATGTAAGACACCTTGGGTAATTAGACGTTCAAAATCATGTGTTCATAAAAATTCCTCTATTAACAAGAGGGAATCTGTTTCAGATGCTTCATTTAACTAATGTTTATCATAGAATGTCCTGAGTTGGAATGGACCCACAAGATCATTGAGTCCAACCCCAGGCCCTGCACAGGACAGCCCCAAGAATCACTATTCCAGGGTCCGACCACCTCCTGGGTGAAGAACCTTTTCCCAATATCCAATGTAAACCCCTCTGACACAGCTTTATGCTCTTCTCTCGTGTCCTGTCACTGGTCACCAGAGGGAAGAGTTTGGTTCCTGCCCCTCTCCTTCCCCTCATGAGGAAGTAAACTGCAATGAGGTCTCCCCTCAGTCTCCTCTTCTCCAGGCTGAACAGACCAAGTGACCTCAGCTGCTCCTCATGCGGCTTCCCCTCAAACCCCTTCACCACTTTTGTGGCCCTCCTTTGGGCCTTATGGTAGTAGTATCAACATCAGAAAGAAAAAAATCAGGACAAAAGTACTAGTGGCACCAAAGAGGTGATGGTACCCACTGGAATTAAACTACTGGACACCTCTCTGTGAGCACCCAGCATGAGAACAGTTTCCAAAGGGAAACATTTCTGCTTGTGTGTTACAGAGATGTCTAGAAACATAAAAAAATGTCCTGCTTCTTGAGCAAATAATCTTTGTGAAAAGAAACATCTTGCTCTATTGAAATGTTTAGAGTAGCATTATAGTTTTCTAGGTTTCTGGGGGAAACATGATGTTTTTCTTCACTTCTCTGTAATAATTCTTTGTCATGGTCCGATCCCTACTTTTCCAAGGGAGGTTAGCAGTCATATTTGAAATGCATCCCTCCTCCATGCCATTTAAAATAAAATGCACCCTCAGTGGAAATAATTTTGTGTTGTGGGACTTAGTCACATAAGCAGACCAGTAGTTGTTTGTTTATGTGGGTTTATGCTATTGCCAGAAAACCTTGATAAAAACACAAGAATGTACTGGAGGATTGAGCAAACATACTTTTATTCTACCTAGTGAGACACATTTATTGACTTATGTTTTCTACTAATTTAATTGCTCATGGAAAAGTGGGACCCCAGAGAAATTGTCAGGTGGCTTTCTTTCCTATGGGAGCTATAGAACTCTTCTTTCTTTCTATGAAACAAGAAGCACTGTAATATTCTAGGAAGGATTAACCTTTGTATCCAGGGTATGCCTGCTCTTTGGTCCTGAGGTTAAATACGATTTCCAGAGAAATTCTGCATGCTTCATTGCACTCTGCATGCTCCATAAGAGCATGGAATGAGTGAAAAGTGACCAGAGTTTGAAGTGATGAATCCTTTTGCCCTTTCTGTCTGTATTACACTGACTGGTGGATTTTTCTTTGTCCCTGTTCTTGGATTTCCCCAACTGCGACTCTGCTCCAACCTTTAGCATCTTCTTAAGGCTATGCTGTTAAGGGAATGAAAAACTCCAGAAGAGGCTGGGAGCAGAGCCTAACCTGTGTGTCTGAATCTTTCTTGGAGGAGCTAATCTTCTTCCTTTGACTAGAGAGGAAAGGAACTGTATGCCATAAGAAATGAAGATGGGTGCATGTAGTGTGGGCATGAGGGGAGTTGAATTTTCCTGTTTCATCAGAACTTCTAAGTAATTTTTAATTATGGTACTTCAGTAACTAGGATGTTGGCCTGGCTTCAGTTCATTCCTGGAAAGTGCCTACTCCACTTCCCAAGGGAGCTTTGTATAGTTAGTGGGTGACTCATACCTTTTTGTAGGTTTTGGAGAGGGGAGAGGGGAGATGCAGTGGGACTTGTGCCACAGAGAAAAGAAGTAGAAGCTGCAATAAGGTTTCATTTGTCCTTCTAGTTAATAAAATGGCTGCTCTGTTTATTTCTGTAAATTTTAATTTATGTTAAAGGAACCTGGCACCTTCAATTAAACCTCTTAAAAACCACTTATCTCAATCAGTTAATACTAAATTCTAATGCAAACATAAATAAAAATATGGACTTGTACTTCAATTACAATGCAAGCAGTGAAAAAATTCCAATTCATAAACAGGTTATATTAATAATTACACAGAAAGGTTAATAAGAAAAAGCAAACCCAAACAAAGTAAGGGAACCATTGAATGAGGCCACCCAACTGCCCAAAATCTAAAGTAAACAGCTTGTGCTTTGAATAAAAACACATCCTCATTTATGATAATATTTCATCTAGAATATATTGGCCTGCTGGGTCTCACTGGCTTCTCCATATATCCATTAAAGTACAGTAGTCTCTTTCCTGCTAACATGTTCATCTTAGTGAATCACAAAAACCTCAAGTCTCTTTCTTCTTTTATAGTTTGGTTGACCTTGGAGAACATTCAGCATCAAATTCATAACCTAACCACAATAGGGCTTCTCTTTGTAGAATCTGGTCCTGGAATGTGCAGCATATAGAGCATCATTAAGTCATAGAGATTATACTTAAATATTATTTCTGTCAGTCCTGCTGAGGAGCTACTGTGCCAAGCTCACCACACTGGGGATGCTGCTTCCCTCCAAAGCCAGCTGCAGCTGTCCAGGAGGTGACAAGCACTGACAGCACACCCTGAGGCCTGTCTTCTGCAAATGCTCATTGTAGGGTGGCAGCTCATGGCACTGACCCCTTTGATAGGGCACAGCAGCACCTTGCAGAACCCAACAGTCTGGTGCTGCATCCCAGCCAAGGCTGCTTCCCTTTCGGGGCATCCAGTCCTGGCTGACCAGCCACTGGAAGATGCAGTTCAAGACTTGGGAAGGCAGGATGTGTGCCTCCTTTGACTGGAGGCAATACTCAGATCACCCCAGTATGAGGCTCTGACTGTAGGAACTAGAGCCACTGCTTCCCTGCTGTTGCCAGGTCAACCAACCAGGGAGACATCACCAGTGGTACCTCTACCAAGAGGTGTTACAAGGGAGGCCAACATGTGTGGCTCAGGATTGACAGGAGAAGTCTGTAGTGATTATTTACTTCATGCAGCCCTGGATACACAAAGAACTGCTTTTAGGTGGCTGCTTCTCTTAAGTGCCTATAAATATGGTGTGGCCGAGTGCTTTTCTGTTCTTCAGGTGCCCTTGCTTTATTTTCTGAGGAAATTGCTTTAGTTGGGCATAGTTTGTTTTCTTTTGCTCTTCTGTCTCTAAACTCTTCAAGTATGGCTCTTAACATAAAATAAGTTTGTGCCTGGTGTGACCTTTAATGAATCAGCCAAATCTAAATAATGAAGACCTTGCCTTTTATCACATGCTTGCTTTTGCTGACTGCAGCATTGTGGAACCAAGCCTGTGGCCTGTCAGGAGTGTTATTTATGATTCTGCTATTACAGGGCATTCAGTCACCAGGCAGTCCTAAATTGTACCCCCACCTAAAAACTATTGTTTAGGTGTTGTATCTTGAATGATGATTGAAGAAGGCAATGCGGAGAAAGGAACGGGTAGGCAATCTTTCCTCATTTGTTTTAAACATTGCAAACCTAGGGAAAATCACAGTGATTTTCTTCTTTAGCTAATCAATTTATTTCACTTCCTGTATTAATTTCACTTTCTGTATTAATTTCACTTTCTGTGTTAGGTCTTTGCCTTTTGACTGATAATATTTGCAGTACTTCCTTTAACTGGAAAAGTAAACAGATAGTACAAGATAAAATGGTCTATAGGAACTTATGCCTATCTATTCTGACATTGAACAGTGGAATTGAACTTTTTTCCAGGGATTCTGGTTTTCATTCCAAATGTGAAATATGATTTCCAGAGGCCCAGAGAAATTTTGGGGGTTTTTGCCTAATACTACCTAAGAAAAGGAGCTGCCTCAACATAAACTGGACAAATCCACCTCTGTAAGACCAGAGATTCCAGCAATGTCTAAACCTATGTCTTCTCTTCCGAAGTGTGGAAATGTAGAAATTTCAGTTTCTTCAAGAGCTGAGCTACAGTAACTATGGACCTGCAAGGCTAACAGGCCACTTCTGCAGCACTTTCAGGACTACATCACAGCTTTTGTCTTGAATTTTCATCTTGGACTGTATCCCACCTGGAAAAATTTATATACAGTTGTTTGTGCAGCTCAAAACTGAGATCAGTATAAGGAGAAGAGCAGGGACGTGGAAATGCTGAGATTCTCACCTAAATTGTCAGCTTTCTCATGTGATTTTTCCTGTGAGTCAGTTAAATATCCTTCTTGTTTCTTAGGACTGTTGAAAATGCATCCGAGTTTTTACATCTAGTCAAGAAAGGCCTACAGCTGAGAGTCAGGCACCCAACACTGGTGCATGCTCACTCCTCTCGTTCTCATCTGGTAGTGACATTGACCATAACCACAATTGTCTTTGGAGATAACTTTGGTAAGTAGGATGTTACTAAAATGCATCTAGAGCCAGTTGTTTTTAGAAAAACAGTCTGTGGACTGTGAGATTGTCATATTATTTTTCTTCCTTTTTCCAATGTTTGATACATTCCCTCAGTTCTTTTCCATTTTTCTAACTTCTACATACCTTCTTAAATAACAGACCACCTGGATGTTTGAATGCTACTGAAACCTTGAGTTTCATAAAAACTTACCACTTTTCTTTACATGTCTTGACTTACAGAGTTCTTGGAGTTTTATAGCATGGAACAATTAATGAATAAATGTTGTCAGTAAGTCATAAGAGAGTTAAGATCTCAGTAAGACAGATAAAGTAGTTAAATCACTTAGAATGAATAATTGCATGTCATACAAAGTTTGTGGTAAAGCTAACCATGCATTATAGGGATTGGATATGCTTTTGGGTGAGAAATAATCAAATTGTTTTACCTCCTACCTTGCAAAAAAAGTCCATTAAATTCAGTCTCTTGAACTGTTAGTAATAGGTCACTGCATGAAAAGACAATATAGTTGTCTTATATACGGTGGCAACATCTCTATTTCTACTTTTCATTACCACACCAAGACTTACCAGTTTATTGCTTTTGGGATTTTTGGAGTTAACTTTATTTTCTTTTGCTTATGTTATAATTAGGCTCTCTGTTTCCAGTGCTCTGGTCCATCTCCTTCATACTCTGCAACAACAGTATGATTTTAGAAAGTGGGAAATATTTCACATTTTTTCCCTTAGATTGCTATCAGAAATTAAACCACCAGTATCAGCAAAGCAGAACAAACAGTGCCCTTACTTACCTACAGGCCTTGCCAAAAGACACAGTTACTTCAGAAGTTGCAGCTCCAGTGTTTCAGATGTTAGCTCTAGGCAGCTCCAGATTCTTGTCAGTCAGACAGATGTTACAATTTTCAAAACTTAGTGTTGCACTGTTAGGTACCAGCCATCTTGTCTAGTCCAGAATTCCCTTTGCCACTTCTAATTGCAGTCACTCCACTGTGGCATGTTGTCTGGCAGCAAAGCTCTGCAGAAATGTGTAATTGCTGAATGCAGACTCAGGCTTTCAGCTCACAGGGCACGGATGAAGATGTGCCCTGTAGGGGGACAGAGCAACACTGCAAAGGGTGCCTCACTGCAACAGTGTGACAGCATGTGTGACAGCACATTCTGTCTTGTTTAAAAGGAGAAGATCCTGATTTAAAAGCCAGGTGCAATTGTCAAATACCACACCACCAGATATCTGTCACTAAATAAAAGGTTGTAAAATCTGTGGTGAGTTCAGCACCTAAAGCCAAGGTTGACAAGCCAGCACTTTTTCAGATTTGATTAAGGTGTTTTAGCATGTATTATCTGTCTTTTGAGGAGAGCTGTTTCTTAATTTTGTTGTCTGAAACTAAAGAAGAGACCACTAAGTTGACACTGTATGGCCTGAAGCCATTTATTCTGTGTAAACCAACACAGCTGCTCTGTCTACACTGTGAACATCCCGCTTGGGTTTTAGCAGTTGTTCCTTACTTGGAGAAGTATAGAGCTCTGCAAGACAAGTCATCTGCTCTTTACTCAAGTTTTGCAGCTGGAAACTTTGTACTATTCCAACTAGACTCTTTAAACACCCAAGAAGGTCTGTTGTCTCTACGACCTGTAGCAGAGTATGTGTCTTTTATTCTTTTATGTCTTTTAGAGAGAGAAAGAGAGAGATGGATGAAAACCAAAACACTAATTAAAAAGCAAAACTGCTTTGGGAAATCCCTTTTAAATATATTCCTGCTAAGCTAATGTGAAAGCAGATATCCCAGAGAATCAGTCTTTGTCTTTCTTCTCAGCAGAGAGTGAAAGCCAGATGCTGCTGCTGAGGAAGAGGAAGGATAGTAGTAGGTAACCAACCTGGACAGATGGGAGTAATACTATTGAAGCTAATAGCTTATCATGTGTAGATTCAGCAGTGGGATATGAGGGCTGAAGGAAGTCTAGGGGGAACAGCAGGAAAGGACAAAGTAGAGAAGGCAGGATGAGGATTTTTTTTTTTGCCAGAGCACCAGCAAGTTACGTTTCTAATACATAGAACCAGACTTTAGAGCCTACTGCTCCCAAAGATCCAAAATCTCACTTTGGTTACAGTCAGTCTAAAACTTGAAAAAAAATACCTCTTTAAAGGCCTTACTGAACTCCTGTTTCTTGCTTTCCACATTGTATACAACACAACCTACACCAGAACTTGTTACCAGTCGGTACAATCAGTTTGATAAGTAAAACCTTAAATTAAGATAGAAAAAGTGATTCAGCTTGCCTTGCCATGGATTCTGACTTGTATATTGCTTCTGTTAGAATAGACTTAAACAGCAGATACTGTACATCCCCTATTGATGTCCCATTTTTCCCCTATCTCAATCACCAGTGTCAGTGAGAAGCTCTCGTTTGCTTTTTCCATTAAACAGGTACTTCATGGGAAGATGAACAAGCCAGTCAGAGACTAAATAAAGATGTTTCCTGCACCTTTCCACAAAAAACGAGAGATAGTAAATCTGCCTCTTCCTCTGGAACCTCTTCACCAGTGCAAGTCGAAGCAACTGAGAAAATTAAGCAAGTCAAAACTAGACTGCAGCTGGTGGACCTCGCTGGTAGTGAGTGTGTTGGTAAGGGAATGTGCCTGCTTGTGGGCATGGATCACCCCAGATCTAGGTTACAATAGTTGCCTTTAGTTCTTTATAGAGGGGTACATGCTACCCTGCTTACATACCAGGCTCACTTAAACCCACAGATCCTGCCATAAAAAAAAATTTGAGGGCTGATTGTTCCAGTTTTACACTGGTACAGTATAACTGAAAATCTGACTGCATAAGCTTAAAATAAGTTCAGGGTGTTTACCCATATCATAAGTATATTATTTGTTCAAACTGGTTTTATTAGGCCTGGTTTTCTGCTCTGGAAAGTAGCATGTTTTTGTACAGAAATGTTTCAAGTGCATAAATTATTTAAATATTACAAATATCTGTAATAATTGATATCACCATGTGTAGGGTTTTCTGCCTTTTTGTGGAAATTAGTGTTGAAAAGATAATATTGTTTTTGTTGTTTCTTCAAAGCATTTTCCTCCTCCTGCCTCCTCTATGCACACAGTAATTTCAAAAACTTGATTATTTCCTAAAGGACAAGCTTTCTTACCAAGAAAAACCATGCAGCCAAATGTACCATTCCAGAAATAATGTTTTGAAAACTGAACCAGTATTATGAAAGAGTCTTTTACTTTACTGCCAAGAATTCTTGCTGTTGCTCACTGTTAAACTTTTGTTCTACAGAGAAACCTAATATAATACATTATTTTTTTCATTTGCTATAAATGCTGAAAACATGTAATTTTGCAACAGGGTGTGTGTTTGTTCTCTCAGTTAAACCAGGACAAACATTTCCTTGGGTTGGGGCTCGGCAGGCCAGATCCTCCAGTGAAGCTGGGAGAGCTGTGCTAACATCAGTGTTAGATGTGGCCCAGCACACACAGCAGACTGCCCTCTGCCATCAGCTGGGCTGGTGAATTTACCCTGGTAAAAGTGAGGGCAGCTGTTAACTCATAATTGTTTTAAAATGTCAGCAACTCTAAGGGAGCAGCAGTACATCAGGCTTCTCACACACTTCAGCACCCTGCCTTGTTAGCTCTACAGCCATCCTGAGTCATTTACAGGCCAAGCGGTCCCTTTCTGGCAAACTAGGTTTCAGTTTGAAAACTCAGCTACATGCTTTCGTGGAAGTTCATCTAACCAAATGCAGAAAATGAGCAGTTTAAACAAGTACCCCCTCACCTATTTGCAGTTTTCTGCTTTAGGGTGATGTCCTTTGTCTCAGGAGTCCACCTTTCCTTGAATAAAAGAAGTCTGGGGATGTCTGTATACACAATGGCCCCAGTAATGTTAGCCTGAGATGCATCCTATCACAGATTGTTGTCCACCCTTTGGCAAGTCTTCCAAACTCTTTTGCTCCGTGTCTCTCTGACAAGAGACTCTACCACTCTAACCTCATCCTCTCCCACAGTCGCATTTCTCCTCATTGTCCAGACTTCTGGGGTTTTTGCTATTACTGTGCCTTTTCACATTTGCCTCTTGAACTCCTCGTTTGTCCTCCCAGTTTGGAAAATGCTGCCCTATGGGAAAGACAGGATCTCTAGCAGCTCCCTGTACCTGTCTAGAGGTGGGAGAGTAGGCAGAAGAGGAAACTGTTAGCCCTATCTGATCAGCCCACTACTGTGAGCTCTGCCTAACATGGATCATGTGCTCTGGGTAAGGAGAAGTGATTGCAGATCACTTCTATACCTCATCCATTGTCCTGAACAAAGCTCAAATTTGAATAATGTGATACTAAATGCTAATAGCAAATTTCTCTTCCCCAAATGGGCAGGAGGAATTAATTACTCTTAACTGCACACTCATCCATACTGATCAGAGTTGAGCTTGCAGCACCTCTTTGAGTTGGTGCAATGTGTTGCATAGACCAAACCTTTCCAGTGTTGCTCAGGGGCAGCATAGCTACATACCACCATGCTGGTTGGGTGGTAGAAGGGCATAATTTTCCTTTATCCATTTCCTTATAGCAAATCATGCCATAAACCTCCACCTCACAGCCTTGGGTGAACACAAACCCCTCACGCTTGTGTCTGCTATACAGTTTTGCTTCTGCAGCTTGTGCCATCAGTGCCTCCCCTCTTTTTCCTAAGGGATATAGATGGGTCAGTTACCTATTATAAAAAATGGTGAAACAAAACAGACTTCTTTCTGGGGACATTGTGGACTGGTGTTTTGTCTTGTCTGATCTTAAGGTGTTCCTATGTTCTCGGTTCCTTGTTCTTAATACATATGAAGCCAAAGTGCGTTGTACAGATGAAGAGATCAACTTTAACATGAGATGCTTCAGACCATCTGTAGATACTGAACCTTCTTTAAGAAAGTTCTTCAAAAGAGTGTGTAGAGTATTAAACAATTTATTGGCAGTCCAGACTGAAAAACCACTGCATCTTGCTTTTGGCATGGGTGGGCTGGAAGTCGTGGTTCAGAATTTGTGTTTAAAAATGTTGAGTCAAAAGTAGACGATACAGCAACAGAATTTTCCCCACATTGCAGTTTGAAGTAGCTTTGCTTAGTGTTACCATTGCCTTTTTCTACACTGTACCAGGTATGTCTGGAGTGACAGGGGCAGCACTGAGAGAGACATCGTTTATTAACCGCAGCTTGTCCGCCCTGGCCGATGTTCTTGGAGCAATAGCAGAGCAGCGGTCTCATGTCCCATATCGGAACAGCAAACTTACCCATCTGCTTCAGGACTCCGTAGGTGAGGGATTATTCTGATTTCTGTTTAACTATAGATTTCTCCTCCTAGTTTTCACCTTCCTTTGTTGTATAAAACTAGAGGATGATCTTGTACTCCTTGCTTGTATGTGGCCTCTGTTCAAAGACTCTGGTCCTGGAGCCAGTGTGAGTGTGAGTACACAGTGAGGGTTCTGAACTCCTCCTGAATTTGGCTAAACCTTGCTGTTTCCAAGGTTCATTTGAGGAACATCTCAATAGGATCATGTAAAGGTTAAAAATTGCATTTCACTGGTGTTTCATGTCAGGTACAGTTGACAAGTTAAACTTCAGTCTTTATTACTACAGGGTATAATCAAGTACTTGCACATTCCTTAATATTGTGCCCTGTAGC